AGGTACTCTGAACACGCACCGTGTCCTCCCAAGCGGTACTCAAATGCAGCCCGTGCTATTTAACACGCCCTACTGGCCTAGCTCTGCCTCCCCGGAAAATGTCCTGAGCACGAAGACCACAGGAAAAAGCAAAGAAAAAGCCCCCCCCCCCAAAACAACGTCAGCTGCACATTCCACCTGTCGTGTACGTTCGATTTACCACCGTCAGGAATGCCGACCGGGGCTGTTAGCAACTTCGCACACTCTTCCCAAGTCCTCATGTCTGCGGAGTCCGGTGTATGTGCCGATTCCATCCCGACCGCCCTGATCGACACTCCCCTTTATCTCTGCTTTCCCTTTCCTCAATGTCAATCCCAACCCAACCCCGTCGATCCCCCTCCAATGATTCCGCCGGTCGGGGTGGTCCCTGACCCTACCTGGTTCGCTCCCCCTTCTTGGCAATTGGAGACCCAAATGGACCCAAATCCGAAGCAAACCAAACCCTCGGTCCTTGCTTACGTACCTCGATGGCTCCCACTGGGGAATGTCGTGCGCTGCGTGGCAGATACCTGCTTTCGAACGAGCGATTGATGTCCTTGCTTGCCGGCGTTGGTGATTTTGATCGCTTATCAGGGCTATCTTGCCGGTGACATCATGTCTGGCATTCCTGAGAGCAGGGAATAGACGCCTTATGCAAAGTGAGGAGGGGAAAGAGGGAAAGGAAACAGGTTCGATTGATTGATTTCGTCGTCATCCATTTCAACTATTAATAATACACAGCAGGTTATTCTTTTCTCATCACGCCCCCAACCACCCTGATAATGCAAGATTTTGAAGGGAAAAAGGAGAAGATTAGAAAAAAAACATTGGACTGGAACCGGAGATGCAGATCACTATTTTCCATGTCCCTTCTTACCGCGTCCGCGCTTGGTTTCGGCCAGACCCAAGCACTCGGCCATGTTGAAGAAAATGTCAATCGAGTTGTACACGCCGCCAAACAATTCTTGGCACGGGCCCTGGGCGAACACGGGCACGTCGGTCAGCGAGTGCACCCCTTGGTTCGCGTCCACGGGTAACGTGCCGTTGACCAGGTATCCGGTCACCGCATCCTTATAGTTGGCGAAGTTGCCCTTGCTTCCGGGCTGCTCAACGGCGGGGAGTCGGGGCCCGTCCTTGTGCACCTCGTAGTTCTCCCGGTGATCCGGGAACGCGACCACTCCCGAATGCAAGGTGTATCGCGGATCCCACCGTGCCGGGAAATGCACTCCCTCCGAGTACCGCAGCGCGTTGGGTCCGCCCACCGTGTACTGCGACAGACCTGAGCTCTCGTAGTAGCCGATGGCTCTGCGCTTGTCCCGGTCGTCCTCCTGCGCCTTCATGTACTCGGTGTCCACGGCGCCCGTGACGTCGAATCCGTGTCCGTGGTCGGCGGTCACGACGATCAAAGTGTCCTCGAGCTCGCCCAGAGCCTCGAGCTTCTGAATGGTGGCCTTGACGGTGTCGTCCAGTTCCAGCAATTCACCCAGCGATCGATCATAGTCGAGGGTGTGCATCTGCTTGTCGATACTGGCAGCCTCGGACATGAGGAACCAGCCGTCATCCGAGTGCCGCGCATTCAGCACGTCGATCGCCTTGAGAGTCATGTCCTTGAGGCCGGGCAGATCCTCCGCGTCGCGGCTAGATCCGTCGGGGTAGTTGCTCTGGTTCTGGAGGTTGGACTGGTAGACGTTGCGGTCCAGCCAGGTGGGCAGGTTGTTGGTCGCGAAAACACCCAGCGCCCGGGTGTCGTTGGGTGCCTTGTGCAGAGCCGTGTTGTTCCAGCTGACGCTGTATCCCTTCTCGGCGAACAAGTCGTAGTAGTCGCGAGCAGCGTCCTCGCTCTTCAGGAAATTCTCTGCACCGGCGCCGAAGAGGACGTCAGGACCGTTCCACTCCTTCCAATCGAAATCGGTCAGACCCTCGTAGAAGGAGCTGATAACGTGCTCGTACTCTCCACGGTCGCTGGTGTGAGCGGACAGAGCGGCCGGGGTGGCATCAGCAAGGAAGGCAGTCGAGACGATACCCACGCCAGCATTGGGGTGTCGGCGACGGAAGATCTCGGTGATGATCTCGAACTTGGGGTCATCAAAGGGGTCTTCGGAAGAGTCGACATAGACGTTCAGGGCGTTGACAGTGGTCTTGTGACCAGAGTACAAGGCCGTGGCCGAGTTGGCTGAGTCGGTGATGAACGAGTCCATCGAGTGAGTCATTTGGTGGCCCAGCACGGGGAACTTGTCCAGTGCCATTTTGGTCATGTACTTGCCGTTGATGCTCTTGTGAGCGATCAGGCGAGCGGCGGTGATCATGTTGGTGGTCATTCCGTCTCCCACGAAGAGAACGACGTTCTTGGCACGACGCTTCTTCGGGACGTCACGAACATGCCAGTTCGCGACGGTCTTCTCCTTGCCATAGTAGGTCAGGGTGGCCTCGTACTCGCCAGGCTCAAAAATCGCAACTCTTCTGTAGGCCTTGGAGGTCACGTTGACGAGAGAAGCCTTGCCGGCATCCTCAGCGAAGAGGTCTATGCGGGTTAGCGCCAACTGAATTGCATTGGAACTGACATGTCTTGCTGTGACTTACCTTCGTACCAGGTAAAGTTCCATCTCTCAAGCTTCGCCTCATCAATGTCGAAGTATTCATCGACCGGAACAGCCTTGTGGCCCTTCTTCGCGATGGTGAACTTGAAGTTGGGGTCGGGCTCACCCTTGCGGGCCTCGGAGCCATTGACGGGTGAATGAACCTCTAGACGGATATCAAAGTGCTGTCCTGGAAGAAAGTCGGCCCTATAAGAGACATTGAACCGTCAGCACTGTCCCAATGATCCACCTGTACCTAGCTAACAATGCAGTCGGCGAAACTCACTGATCAGGAGGAAAGACACATCCCAGAGAGGGACAACCCCCCAGACGCTGATAGGTCTGTGCAACAGCGTAAGACGCGAAGAGTGCCAAACTGGAGATCTTAAAAGACCTCATCTTGATCGAGCTCTGAGGTGTTCCAAAAGACCGGTACGGACTTCTAGGAAGGTATGAAACCGGGACCTGCAGCTGTGGGAAGATCAGTGCCAAACGCGGTGCGAACGGCGCCTTTTATGGTCTTCTAGTACGCGGTGACAGCCAAGACGAGAAAATAAGATGATCGGACAGGCGAGTTTCCCCTCTCACTTGCGTCTCCCACCAAAATGCTATCCTGGACACCGTGCAATGCAGCTCTCCCCCATGTCCCGCGCTTCTTGGCACATGCCACCACCGCAACCGCAGCCTGGTGAATTGGCTGTCGCACGGGCAAATCGGAGACTCAGTTTGGATACACGTGCGGAGGCTAGCCGTCCGCTGAGAAGCTTGGATCCCTGTCCCTGGTGCCTCGCCAAGCCTGGGCGTCTTGGCGATGCCCGCCACGCCAAGGGCACGTGGTGGCCCTCGTGCGCGACAATGGGCACGTCCGCTAATTGTGGGCGTAGATAGGTCGGACTCCGGAGATTTGCTGTCTGTATGTGGCATGGCGTGGTCTGGAGGCTTTCTTGATCGAGTCAGGAACCTTATCGGACTTGCATCATGTTGGAAGCGATCCCGGAACAAGGTTGGGCTGGAGGTCTCTTGTTGCCTCGTCCTGCTCCTTCTCACCCTGCACTAACATATAGTGATCGAACCACCAGGAATTGCCGTAGTTTGTTGGTCTGACATTCCGCTTGTTCTAGGCAGAACCGTAGACGTAAACGGCCTATGATCTTGATCACGTATACCAGCATGAAAATACAACGACCTATTCCTTCCACCAAACCTTGACAGATTCGAACAAATTCAGATAACAAATAGATTCACAATTTGAAAAGTCTACTATCCAAACTACATACGCCGTAAGCTATATCAAACACAACGCGCGCAATCCTTTTAACTGCTCTGACATTTTCCCCAGGAAAAACTTCGACTTGACAATCAAATGAAACGATACAATGTATGCAATCTTCCAGCCCTACAAGGTCCCAAAAGTCAAAGCTTCGTCCAAGATAACGCCACATGCCTAGTTCATTTTATCCAATGAACCTCTACTACACGTGCATGCGCGCAGATATAGCCTAGCATATTAGAGGATGTTATAGCTACCTAGTGGAGAAACAATGACTTGACAGCGCTGACCAAAGGGCTGGGGTCTTCTATTGGGCTGCATAGTCCCTACCGCGCTTATCCACGGGGGTCCCTTGGATCATAGCCTCATAGGTAAGGGTCTTGGTTTTGTAGGGCGGAATGAAAATATGGGCCTTGCTGGGTATGGTACGGGAGCTTGATCTAAATATATGAGTTTACTAGGCTTTCCGGGTGCCTGGAAATACACGGAGCGAGCTTGTAACTGGGAACCTTATACCGAACCTTCGATTCCATCTAGTTGAATTTGATCTCCAGGTTATCATATTGTGTTACCGCTTTAGAATATGATCGTGCATTCTGTGCAATGACCGGAAAATGATACCAACATCCTTCTCTACCATGCAAAAGAGAAATAATATTTACTTAAGCTCAAACATTGTGAGAGTCCAAGGAGAGCATTTTCACCAGCCGTCCAGAATGGGAGTACTTATTATAAGAATCTGCCAGATACCCTAACTATTACGCCATATTTTATATCAGTCAACATAAATGGGATGTAACTAATCAAAAATGATCACTAATCAATAAACTGCCGGGAGGCTGCCAGGTTTGGGAATAATGATCAAGCCCTACCTATCGGATGCCTCAATACCAATGTATTAGTGATCATTCCCCTCCCGCTGCCGAGGTCGTCAGGCAGGTAGACAATACTAATACTAAGGTATAGGACATAGCATCTGTGATTGCATAATTGTCGAGTGGACCTCCTATAGGGGCTGAGAAGTTTTCGCTGTCTTACCTGGCAGATTCGATTTATACTTATTAAAGGTCGTGGGTAGCCAATATGTAAGACCAACTATAGTGACGACGATCTTTGTGTACACATCCTCTGAAACTATGGAGGATGCTAAGGAAAGCTCGGATCTTCAGCCGGCAGGGACTGAAGGTAAGGTCTTCTTTTTAAGTCTTGATCTGCAAGTTAAAAGGAATTGACAAGAGCCTAGCCGATGAAGCTACTTTTCAACAACCTTTATCGTCTGGTACCTCGACCAATGCCGACCTTTCAAACACCTACTCGAACATTGTTCGCCTGGATGGAGACGCCGATCCTCTTGATCCGCAGAATTGGCCAGCGACGAAGAAGTAAGTAAGCCCCTATATAGTCGCAAATGAAGATAACTGACACTAGAGCTAACAATGTCGATTGAACCTAATATAGGCTCTATACTGCCGTCCTCCTCGGTCTGGCAACCATGATAGCTGCTCTCACTAGTAGCATCTTCTCCACGATCATTCCGGCACTGATGGTTATCTATGGCATCTCCCGCGAAGTAGGAACCCTCGGAGTCTCGTTGTATGTCTTGGGTTTCGCGACAGGGCCTATCATCTGGGCACCCTTTTCTGAAGTCAAAGGCCGTCGAGCACCTTTCTTACTGGCTATGTTTGGATTCACCGTATTTGCCTTCGCTACAGCCGTATCGAAGGACTTGCAATCAATTTTTATCTGCCGCTTCTTCACAGGTTTCTTTGGTGCTGGCCCTTTGACGCTTTCTGGCGCCGTCTATGGTGATATCCTCGCGCCCCAGATCCGTGGAGCTGGGATGGTTGGCTTTTGTCTAATGGTCTTCGTGGGCCCGCTCCTCGCCCCTACCATCGGCGGCTTCATCATAATGAACGATAGCCTAGGCTGGCGATGGACGCAATATATCCCCGGAATCCTCGGCGCCGCTTCATTCATCTCGCTTCTCCTCTTCCACGACGAGACATACGTCCCCGTCCTTCTGTCTAATAAAGCAGCTCGTCTCCGCCAAGAAACAAAAGACTGGTCTATCCACGCGGAACACGATGAACTCGACATTAACTTCAATAGCATCTTCCACAACTACCTCGCTCTCCCCTTGAAAATGCTCGCCCTCGACCCGATCATCCTCTGCATGTGCATCTTCGGCGCCTTCGTCTACGGCCTCCTCTACCTATTCCTCACAGCTTACCCCATCATCTTCCAGCAAATCTACGGCATGACACCCGGCGTGGGCGGCCTCCCTTTCATCGGCGTCGTCGTGGGCCAGCTGCTTGCGGGTGCGACTATGTTCCTGGGCTCGCCTCGAGTGGGTCGTCAGATCAAGGCGAATGGTGGACAGATGGTGCCGGAATGGTTGCTGCCGATGGCTATCCCCGGTTCTGTGGCGTTTTCGGCGGGCCTGTTCTGGCTTGGTTGGACTGGGTATCGGGGTGATTTTCATTGGATCGTACCGACTGCTTCGGGGCTTTTGACTGGGTTTGGGCTTTTGGGGATGTTTTTGCCATCGATCTCTTATGTGGCTGAGGCGAGGAGGAAGAGGTGAGCTTATCCATTTCCAAAATCTACGCAAGCTATTGTGGGATGTAGATGACTGACGGGTTGGTTCTTGATAGGGCGGCGTCGGCGATTGCAGCACACACATTCCTTCGGTCTCTGGCGGGTGCTATCTTTCCTCTTTTTGCGACTTATATGGTATGTTGAGGCTTGGTCTTAGATATGGGACATACGTGCTGACTTCGAGATGATTTAGTTTGACGGTCTCGGTGTCGAATGGGCTTGTACTCTTCTAGGTTGCGTTGCTGCGCTGCTCATCCCTATGCCGATCATATTTTATATCTATGGTGCGAGGATCAGAGCACGGAGTAAGCTTGCACTTTGATACTCGTCTATGGGGAAACCCGAATTTTGGGGAATTCATAATCCATATTGCGATTGGGAAATATCTTCATTAAATAATAGATATAGATACTGATAATTAACTTTGGCCTTTGGGATATCAACATACTCATATTAGACTTTTAGACTGAAGGATGAATAGAGGGAAAAAGAACAAATTTATGGCTGCTGCCAATTGTTATCCAACGTCAAATCAAAATTCAATCGAACTAACGCCCAACCCCGCGCGCGACTGAGCCAGCACACAACCAGCCTCGCTCCAAAGCACGCCTAAACAAAAGCAGACATAGCCGCAAGACACTCCCAAGGAGACCTGCACTGTTTGATACACGATGGGTCGCCCCAAGCTCGGTAAAACTGCGCAGAGCTTTATGGGATCGATTCCGCCATAGAGAGTCACGTTCCGATGATGGATCCACAACATCGAAAGGTACTCGAAGCGAAGCGAACGAGTTCGCAAAGGAGGATTCAAAGGAAAGAACGACCTACTCTACTGTGAGCGAAGACCACTGCAGCGAAACCACACCTCGAGACTTCTCTACGAAGCGAAGATCGGTATCATCCCACAGACCCCCAAGCCAGGTCGACGATCCCGGAAGTGGAGGTATAACGACAGAGTCAACCTCGATCATACCGTCAACGGAGGAGCATCGGGACAAGGAAATACCTCGCGACCTTTGGAAAGAAGCTTTTGAGGCGTTGTTGCCCGCAACACAATCCCATCTTCGGAAGTTGGGCTACGAACCGGATGCTTCGAAGACGCCGCATGCTCAAGATCTGGACATCCTCGTTCAAGATCTCTGTGAAAAGCGGGATATCTGCGAGAAAGGGGGCTGGAAATACAAATCAGAAAACCATGAGCTTATCGTGCGAGACTCCGCGGCGAAATGTGCGACCTTGGTATAGTTCATTAGGGATCTTGTCGTGCCATTCGCACCTTCGCAAGCTTCAGGCCCGTGGGGTCTGATCTAGGCGTTTTTGAAGGTAAGTTTGAGTTCGTTTTCGAGCGACCTGGCGCCGATGAAGCTTCGCTGTAAGAGACAAGGTCAACTTGCTGACTTAGCGTATAGATTCCTGTCAAATTCACCGAGCAAGTGCTCGCTTTGCTCGGGACAGTAGAGCGTGTTCTGCAGGTTACGCATAGTGGAAGAGTGTACGAGTTCATCTATGCAACAGAAACCGGTGATATTGTAGAAACACTGGGCCAAGACCTTGTCAAAGTATACCAGGCGGTCCAGGAATTGTTGAGTCACGCCATAGAGATGTTTTCGAAGTCGACCTGGACGAGAATCCTGGCAGGGATTTTTGACAAAACCTCAGAGTTGTTCTCGGATCTGGCTGCGAAGGAAGAGGAGCTCGCTCGGACTGCCCACGCGTGTGAGAGTCAACGTGGCGCGCTGGTCGACGGGGAGATGCTAAAGCACTTACAAGCGATTCAAGGCTGTCTGCCTCGTATAGAGACTCAAGTCACAGCGTGTTTGGAAAGTCTTTCTGAAGACAAGGCCAGTCATTGATCATGTTCAAGATACTCTAGCAGCCGTCTCCAACAACGAAGGCTTTGCCTATTTTTACTGTAACAAGAACGAGGATGCTCGAACTCGTCCCCTGGCCGTGGCGCAAAGCTACGTTCGCCAACTATCCTCTTCAGCGAAAAGCAGTTTGGGGTATATCCAGTCTAAGTTCCAGACAAGTTATAATGAGCTACGTCTTCGTGGGAAAGGTTTTAATCTGGAGCATTGCCGGACTTCATTGATTGAGTCTCTTAATCTCTACCCACGAACCACCATAGTGTTGGATGCCTTTGATGAATGTGATCCTGCGTCGCGTGAAGATCTGATTGAGCTGTTTGAGGCTTTGCTTTCCGCCAGCAAAAGACCTATCAAACTCCTCATCGCAAGCCGTCCCGACGGCGATATCAGGCGCGAATTCCGCTCGCGCCCAAATATAGAAATCCAGGAAACGGACAACCGCGACGACATCCCTGCATACATTTGCCAGATTATACCAAAACTAGTTACAAAGAACAGTGCAATCGAGGGACTCGAGCCGGAGATTACAAGAGCTCTCTTGGAGGGATGTCAGGGAATGTAAGCACCTGCCTCCCTTCGCGCATGGAGGGCTATAAAGATTGCTAATTGGGTGTGATTAGATTCCAATGGGTCTTCCTGCAGCTTGAGCAGCTCGGGACATGTATTAGCCGCGAGGATATACTGGACAGCCTGGGAAAGCTTCCCAGAACACTCGATGAAATGTATGGCCAATTATACGAGGAGATAAGCAACGGCATGCCCCATGATTTTATTCTTGCGCAACGGGCTGTCATGTGGGTTTTGGCCGCACGTGAACCCCTTTCACGAGAAGATCTCCCCGAGGCGATTCATATCAATCCCGACCTTGATAGTGCGGATATGTGTACCGTCATCTCCGAAGACGCATTGCTTTCATTATGCCGCAATCTGCTGGTCATTGACTCAGAACAAAACGTGTGGAGAGTGTCGCATCTGTCCGTCGCAGAGTACTTCAAATCCCGTCACGGCTGGACCGATGGAGTGATCAATACGATGGTGAGCAAATCTTGTTTACTATTCCTGCTGAGTGAGACGTTTTATCTCGAGTATCCCATATCTCGCCGTCGGAAACCCAATAAATCCGTATTCAAGCGACCACTCCTATACTATATAACATATCATTGGCCAGAACATGTTTCGCCATCAGAACAGAGCAGAATATCAGAAGTCGACTTATCGACTGTCACGGCGCTCTTGGAAAGGTTTCTTGGTGCTCCACAGGCCAGTAACGCGCAATACCGGAAATGGGCTTGGGTGCGGTATTTGGAACCTGTTGAAAATTCTATTCTGGCTGTCTGTGAATATGGATTCAATAGGGTACTGAGCCAATGGTGGGAAATGGCCGAGCTGGACCATACATTGATCAACTCTGCACATCGTACCTATATGATGGTGGCTGCAAGAGAGGGTCATGTCGCCATCCTGCGGCTTCTCCTGCAGAAAGGTGGCACCACCGGCATACAAGGCTTCTCTCACTCTTACTCCACGCCACTGATGGAAGCAGCTTCTGGGGGACACATTGAGGCGGCCAGAGCTTTGTTAGGGGAAGGAAACGTGGACATAAACTTACAGGTAAGAAGGAATGGGCCTGACTCGTGCGCTTTGGACTCAGCTTTGTCAACACACAGTCCCAATATGCTCAGCATGGTGCGTTTTTTGGTCTCCGAAAGCCAAGCGGACGTGAACATGCAGCTGTGGCATAGTGGCTTTGGCAGTGTTTTTGCCAAATCCGCTGCGTTTGGGTTGCCGGAGGTTGCGAAATATTTGGTAGAAGAGGGCGGCGCTGATGTTGATTTGGTTCTGCAACATGGGAATTATGGTAGCGCCCTGGCATGCGCAGTCTCGTATGGGCACAATTATTCTCACCGTGGAGAAATTCTAGATTATCTGGTGAGGATTCGACGAGCCAATGTGGACCTGCTTCTTCAGACCGGCCATTATGGGAGTGCATTGGCCGCTGCCGCTAGTAAGGGTGAGATGGAATTTGTTAGGTAGGAGTTTCTCCTCGCACCGGGGGCTGTTGCTTCCACAACAATTCCGGTTGGTAAATCTTTGTTTTCCAAATAGAAGAGAAAATAGATTGATCGGTAGGCAAAAGGGTGCAGTCCCTGAATCGGGAAAGGTGCCTGAACGTAGGGAATTGGCCTCTCAATGTGCGTTGATATGAATGCCGGAGGTTCGGATTTATCCCAGGGGATGCACTGAAGGCTTTGCCTCTCAAATCGGGGTTCTAAATTGATGTCGCAGTTCCAACTGTCAGGCTCCAATGCGGAGCGGATCAACCGGTTGAAGCGAGCCTGCATCCTGGGCTTTGCTGCCACATCTACCAAATCTACCAAATCTACCACATCCCCCAGCCCACCACCGAATTCGGCCACACATTCGATCAAACGGTGAGAAACATTGCCACCGATTCCGAGGGCAAAGAATCGCACTTTGTTCTGCAGCTCTTTCCTGGTCAACCAAATGTATTCTGTAATGGGGACTGGGTATAGCTCTCCGTCTGTGATAGTAATGATCTGAATAGATCGTCTTTGTTCGTCACGGTGCTCTACAGCAGATTTGAGCGCTAGTAATAGCTCTATTCCCCCAAGATCAGCCCTTGCTTTGGAGCTATAGGCCCTGGCTATCTCAATATTCTCAGCGGAGTGACGTTGGGACTGAGGTCAGAGGCCGAACGTTTTGGTTCCGAATTTTAGGATATTGAATGCGCAAGTGCTATTCAATCAATCAATCAATCAAAATTCTATTAACCTGGTGGAGACTATCTATTGAAACGACAGGCTATGCAGGCGCTTCGCCGAATGAAGCAGAATCTCGAGCCCGTACGCCATATAAACCTAATGCAGTAGACAAAAGAGACTAAAAAGTAACACAACTAAACCGGCTGCCACACGCCTGCCGCGTGCCTACTGCGCCCCTAGACGCTGTTCTCTCCTTCCGCTCCGTTCTATCTGTGGTATTCCAGTGGGATCCACTGTTCATGTGTGCGTCACGTAGCCAGTTGAGACTTCCTGGCTCTTAGTGTTCAATATAACCATCGTCTTCCTCGTTTAGATTGAGTCCCTCTAGGAGGGTGCTGGGTTCCGGGACCTCCTCGTCCTCCTCGTCTTTAAACGTGGCGAATCGGAACTGCTGTAGGAGGCCTGTTCGTTGCATGAAATCGGCGACGTAGCGTATCGCCTACGGGTGGTTCATGACTGCGTCGTAGTCCTGTATACGCCCACGCAGTCCCTCGATAGAGTCGAGGCGTTCCATCATTATTCTCCGACTGGCGAGGTGCAGCGAGCACTCCATAAGGACGTGTTTAGGCGCTTGAGAGACTAATTCACACCCGCAGCGGTCGGAGTCGACCTGCTTTATCTTGAAGAGGAAATGCCTCAATCCGATGGCCAGTAGGACCGAAGCATAGGGTCTCTTCGAAGGGTGTAGGGTAGTCTGTTTGGCGCAGTTTGAATCAGATCTTTTCCATTTTGGGGAGAGTTTATTTCGCAATGTAGAGTGTTCAGCCTTGAGGAGAATGGATGAGGTTGGAGAGAGGTCGAGTATTAGAAGAGTGGGGATGGCATTGAAATCTGTAGTCCTTGGAAATAGGGCACAGTGGGATAAATGCTAGGCAATATATCGTTCTCTTTATTCTTTGTGTTTATAATACATCTAGCCAAGGGTCAATGTTCCGACAAATAAAAAAGTTATCTAGAGGTCTGCGACAGAAACCCTTCAAAGGTTTTATACAATTAGCTCTGATGTTCCATAGTGAAAAAATCATGAATCTGTGTCTGCGCGCCTTGACGTAGAGTTTTGCTAGCTGGATAGGTGAGCACAGGAACCAGAGTCCAGGGGGCCAGGATCATATACTTATAATATAGGTGTAGACCCTCCATTCCCAAGAGAGAAACAGTGTGTCGACAAATATAGAGATTTTGCCATTATTTAATGAAAGATCAGCGCAGAAGTGGCGAGCCTTTCTCCTAGAGGTAAAACAGAGGCTAAGCGACTTATAACGAACCTTTGCTTGGTAGTAGGCCATTCTTTTTCCATGTCTTTTGGTTTCAGCTTCAAAAGAAAAAGACAGTTGAATTAGTGACATACCTTCTTTATAAGTAGTAGTTTTTAATAGTACGAAGTAGCTTCCAAAATGCTCCTAAAGTACGTAGGTAAGGTATCATGAAACCTGGTTGAGTCTTTTTGCTCGTTCACGTACACAGTAAGTAGTGTAAGACAGGTGGAAGTGGAGAGGTGGGTCGTCATTGTATATGGCATCGCTTCCTTGGCAATCTCCAACTCTTTAGCTCCGTCGCTTGAGCTTTGTTCCCCAACAACCTGAACCTCTGTCGGTCGCAGACTCACTTTCTGCTCTAACCCCGTCTCACGGCAACCCTATCTTGAACCAAGTCCCGTATATCGTCAAGATGGATCAACAGCCACCCTCCGAGCAGCCCCAGCAACCTCCTGCGACCCTCACGAACCCGCGTTTCACCCTGGAGCTCGAATTCGTCTCCTCCCTCGCGAACCCGTACTACTTGTCGCATCTTGCAGTCAATTATCCTAATCTGCTGGGTATATCGAGAACCAGCGAAGAAAGCGATCTCAACAACGATACCGTCGATCCTGAAGCGCAGGCGTTCGCAGCCTACCTTGCCTACCTCTACTCCTACTGGAAAACTCCGGAATATGCCCAGTTCCTGACCCATCCGGGTGCAACCTTGCGTGCGCTACGACTTCTTCAGGAAGATACCTTCCGTCGAGACATTATCCGACCGGACGTGATTGAGGGATTGGCGGGCGTTGGCCTCGGCATCAATCAGGATGGGGCGACCGCGGAGGCTGGGGAACAACAGGAGGGGGAGCAAGCCCAAGATACTCAGGAAAATCAAGGACAGGCGGGAGACAAGACAGTGAAAACATGATCAAGGTGGCACATCTTTCAAAGCAGTCGATTTGACGGTGGCTATCCTTGGGCCGTTTGTCCTCGGGTCGTTCTGTCTACGGGGTTCGCTATGGCCGGCGCCTGCCAGAAAAGGAAATCGTTGCGGGCAGAATTTTGGGATCTACGCTTGGGGGCAGTAGGGCTCTTCGGCAGAATTTTGTATCCTTGCCCGGGGAGAAAGCGACGTTGAACGCGTCGATTCCGTTGGTTCGCGATTGATCTTCGGCGTCATGTGTCACCGAGGCTTCCTCTCTTCTGCGATCGTCCACGGCATCGGCTATGCGTGCTTGGGAACCACAAAGACCATGGCGGCTTAACCCATACACTATGCGATTCCCACAGAGACATACCCGTAGCACCCTTTTTCACTCGAGCCATCACGAGCACTGATCTCAACGCCTATTCGGAATGCGGGGAAATACTCTATATCGATAGCTAAATTCGTGGAGTGCGGCACATGAGAGACCAAGAGCATGGATACACATTACACACCCTTGCGAGAGATAAAGCTGGGGATATGTTTGGCGATCGGGGTTCATGCAAGTGGCTCAATACTGGGCAGCGCATCGGACAGAGAGTCTAGTCGCTTTTCAACGGTGACGTCCTCGGTGGTTGGGATCGATGTGGCTTTTTCTTGTTCTCCCTACTCCCGTACTCCTGTAGGATCTAATTCATGCAAGGAATTGAAGTAAATCTGAATTGAGACATCTAGTGGTAGTAATAACCGTAGCAGCGATCCCAATAACGTCGCTCCACCGACCGAGATTTCGTGTCTTGTTGATCGCCAAGTCTGACGGGGGGCGGACAGGCTGATTTTCCCGACGGGAGACTTCGCTGGAACGTCCAAAGTCCAGGAAACTCCCTCCCTTATCCAGCCTCCGTCACTCCTTGTGCAGTCCACCCATTTTGCACAGTTGGCAAACCGTGATTCCGATGGGTTGACCCTGACTGACCGACTGACCCAGAGATTCTCTCTCTTTCTTTCTTTCACCTCAACTCTCTCCTGGTCTCTCTTCGTCCTCCACTCTGGCCGAATACGGCTCGGTGACATCAGATCGCATTCCATGCCACGGACTTGAGCCTATGACCTGGATCTACTAAAACTCTTCACACAGTCTCTCGCCCCTGACTTGTTCCGGTAGTGACGATTCAAATAATCCGACCCTCTTTCCCACGTTACGAATACTCGGAGCCTTCTCCGGCTACCTAGCCAATGGAGGGTGTACGCCAAAAATGTCGGCCCAAACACCAGGTCCTGATTCTCAAGTGCTACCCACAGTATCAGAAAGGTGTACAGAATGTCAAACCGAATTCGAGCGAACTCTCGTACCTGCTCTACTATGCCAGCACTCGCCGAAGCAAGTTGACCAAGGTCGGCGCTTTTCTTGAGAAACGGGCCGCCCGGGATGTATGGCGCCGTAAGATTGGGTAAGTGGAAAAAGTCGATGGGAAATATCATCAGGTTCAAGTCGGAGCCGATTGGGATCGTCTGAGATGAAGTAGCTGACTCGATACGATTTGCAGAAACGTGCAGGTTACGCTTCAAATCCTCAGCGCGCTCATCGAGAAAGTACCCCGCGATTTGCCCATCTACGCACGATCGGTCATGACGGTAATCGAAACGATCCTACGTTCCAATGACATAACGATGGTTGAGGATTCTATCGAGACTTTTGAGATGTTTTGTTCCCACCAGGACATGGCCGCCTTATCCGCGGAACAGGACTTCGCGAGCCAGTACCGAGAGGTTGTGCGCACGTACGCGAGTTTCGCAGATATCGAGGCGACGTCCCAGGCGCGAGACGCTTCGAGCCCTCAACTAGCGATCCGATGGAGAAATGCCGGACTACGAGCAATCAAAGGCGTGATCAGCTCGGAAGCGGGACTAGCTGCAGACGGCGGAGACTCGTTGAAGATTACACTGCCGGTCATTCTGCAGAACCTCTACAATGGAGAGGATGATCTGCTCCTGACGTTGGAGAACAAACTTCTTGACTCGGAGAAAGCAGAAGCCGATCTTTCGATGCGCCCACGCCGAGTTAGCACTGCAACCGTAGAAAACGTCGATGCCGTGGATGGGGACCCGACCCTAGCGGCCCGGACCACGGCGGATATGGACAGACAAGCGGAGATGGACGTACGGTTGCTTGCTCTCAGTTGTCTGGAACGCATAATCGTCACTGGAAGCGGTCGTGGTCAAATCCGAGTTACCACCCAGGTCGTGTTGGATTTCATTCTGCGCAAAGGGAAGACGGATAACCGTGGAATGTCGCTGAATACTAGGGATACCTGGGAAACATCTCTGATTGAGCTTGTTGCCAAATGGTGCCCGGTTCAGATCCGCTTTATCATCTTGGCCGCTGCCATGGAGCTCCTGCTGGACCTCAAGCCGACCGAAGGCTCTCTAGATGGCCCTTTCACTATCATGTACATGATTGACCGATTGTTGAAATCGCCAGTGAACATGATTGGGCTCAGCGTCATTGATGTTTTGCTCGGTCTTATGCAATACATGTCCTTCTTGCTCTCACCATCGAGGGGCGAGAGGATGACTGAGGAGGCCTCTGAGAACGGCAATTCCGAGAATATGGGTGAACCGTCGGACAATAAACAAGAGCTTCTTAGTTTGCTCCAGAATTGCATTGGCGACCTGACGACCCACATATACTATGGTGATCAGGTTGTCGATATGATAAGAGCCATTCTCACTCGTCTTCAGCCTGCCAGTTCCAATGGTCAAACTGCGAACTCGTCATTCCCAACCCAGCTCGATGGCTTCGGCCCAGGTGCTGGCTCTCTTGGATCCCCTGCAGAAGGAAAACATATCATATTCTTTTCGCCCACCGCAAAGGTCACCGCTCTCAAGGCCATCAAAAACGTTCTTCTGGTCGCAAACTCCAAGAAACCCGCGGAAGCAGCCGGTGTTGAATCGAGACACCGTGTCGGCAGCTACGTATGGGAAGGAACGCAGTGGCTGCTGTGCGAGCCAAACAAAACTGTTCGCTATGCCTATGTCGATGCGTTTCTGGCTTGGTTGCGAATGGAAACCAACCAGGACGATCTGAAGGTCAAGGAGAAGCCTGCGAAACAGAGTCAATCTCCGAAGCGCGAGTTGGCCGACATTGCCGAAAAGCCTGGAAAGCGAACTGTCAGCTCAAACACGGGTCAGCGAGAGAGAGCTTTAATAATGGCGCAATCTAACTTCCTCCGTTTGCTTCATTTGACGATCTACGACATTGCCCTCCAATGCTCCCAGGAGAAATCTGAAATCATGCTTCTCCATCTTCTTCTGGTTAGCCTCGTTGATAAACTTGGCGTGAATTCTGCGAGATATGGGCTTCCAATGGTCCTGAAACTTCAGGATGACCTGACTACAGTGGATAGCCTTAGCTCCGGTATTGCCCAGATCAACATCGCTAGCTTAGTGTATGGGTATCTGTGGGCGTTGACCGAGAAGTTCGACTTGGAGAATTGTCGCGTTGGAGGCGAAATCATGAATGAAATTGTCAAGAGACAGAGATATGGTATTTGGGTGGAGCAGATCCGTCTGCCGCCAGCCAGTCTCAACGATATACTCCAAGATCGGGCATCTCAGCGGGCGAATATCGGCATGGAGCAGATCAAAGAACTGACACCTTTCGGTTATGGTATTGAGGAACTCGTCAACCGCCTCGAGGAAGCCTATAACGAGTTCATCTTATCGGCGACTCATAGTCCGCCCAGCTCCCCTGGGCGGAACTTCACTACCCCTATACTGGCGCATGTCTCGTCTGCCGGAGCTGCCCAAAAGGCCACCCTTCTTCCATCAACCGTCAAGGAGCAGATGTTGTCAGCATGGTCAAGGGAAACCTGTCTGGCGGCTGCTGAGAGAGAGAAAGCTGAAGCACTGTCCATCAGCGGCTCGAAGTCGGGGACCATGGCGATGCGCAGTCAATTCTACAACAATGGCCATGGCGACAGCTCTCCTTCTACGGCTTCGCCGGCATCCGCTCATCACGGTATCTCGGGCGCAGCAGCAGGTCTGCCAAACGTCCGACGGACCAGTGCACCCAATTCTTCAGGCTCCCAACTGAACGGCTCTAATCGCGATTCTCCTGTTCATGTGAACGAGCTCCGTCGGGTTCTTTCGGTCAACAACGAGGGCCAACGCAGACTTAGCCCGCTCCGTGGCCGCTTGGATACCGCCAACAGCAGTGTTATTTCCTCAAGCAGTGAGAGCATGGTCAGTGGATTTTCTTTGTCTGAAATTGATGGCGAGGGATCCTCGGTGAGACCCCAGTCCATCAAGAACGGGCATTTAGGTCCAGAAGCCGATGGCATTGAAACACCCAAAGCCTCGGCTTTGGCATACGGCTCGGAGAATGCTCGGTCCCAATATTCCTTCCATTCTGGCGAGACAGGCCCTGATGTCATTCCACCTGTGCCCCCGATTCCACCCTCTCTCTCAATCCCCGGTGGTTTCCCCAATGAATCCCAACGCTCTTTAGCATCGGCCGATCGGCCATCAAGTGCCCCTGGCCGGCCCCGCAGGAAGTCCAGCGCCAGCGCCAGCGCGAAAGCGGGAGCTCATGCTACGTCTGGCAGATCCCTCAGCAGACACAAGAGTCGATCTAGCACAGGTCTCGCGGCTGCTGCTGACGGCGCCGAAAATCCTAAAACCAATGGCCAGGATTATGCAGATACCTCGAGAAACAATGTGCAAAAGCTGCTTGGCAGTTTCTTGTCCCCCATGGACGCTGAGAGCAGAAAGCCTGTGGGCAGATCGCGAACTGGTCGGCGCACGGCGACCGGAGGAATCGGACGCCCTCCCTACTGATCAACTTTGACCTCTTTTTCTTTTCACTTCTTTTCTCCCCCTTCGGTAATGCCCGATGACCTCCCTTATTATCATTTATTGATGCTTATGCACATATCCATTTATTCTGCCTATTGCTTTGATTTCAGTCTTTCGGCTTTTCATTCCCTATACAATATTGCCCCGATTTCCTATGTTTTAGAACTTATCTCCGTCCTTTGGAACTTCACTGGTCTTTTTTCTTTGTTTGAATTGTTGATAAAGCTGTACTGTGTACACATTTATCTTTCTCAAGCTGTGCTTCTTTCATTGCTTTCTGAGCGCCTCGCCCGAGTGTCGTTTTTATTCTACATGTTTTGAAAATTTTACCATTGTTCAAATATTTATCCTTGTTTCTCAATGGCGATGACTACATGTATCTAGTAGTACCAGTAATCCATAAGGCAACAATATACACCATTCTGTGCGGAGTGCCCTTCCTTCCCTTTTGAACCTATACCTACATTAGTTTCATAGAACGTACAGACTACCTAGAGCCTCAGACCCCTAGTCCCCGATCTGCCGAACCAGAGTGGCCCCAACCTAAAGATCCTCTCTCTCGCCCCTAAGAACATCGCCAACCTCCACCGGCGCAAAGTACTCCGTAAACAACTTCGTCAGCACCTCCTCCGACAACTGCATATGTCCCCCGGGAACAGTCTTGAACTCCAACGCTCCCTTCTCATCCAACTCTCTTAATCCCAGCCAATCCTGCTTGTAGATCTCACGCTCCCGCAACGGCGTCACCTCGCCAGACGTGGCATTCACCTCCGCAAACCACGCACTCTCCTTCGGATGCACCATCTGGTCCTCCTCGAACAGGAACATCGCGAACCGATTCAACCGCGCCAGATTCTCCTTATACGTCACGTTCTTCAATTCCCGCTCGTTGTTCACGTCCGCCAGGAAATTGCTGTGTTCCAAATACGCCTCGAGCTCTTCCGGGTCGCGAAAATATTGCGCTGGCACGAGCCGCGTCTGCACGAATTGAGACCATCGTCCCCATCGGAGAAGCGCCTCGCCGCCTCGGCAGAAGTAGTCACTTGCGCCGCAGGCTTGGAACTCGGCGATTCCGTTGTGTTGGCTGCCCAGTGTGACGAGGTTGTGGACGGGTGGCGAGTTGCAGCGCTCGATGTAGGCCCGCAGGAACTGGCCGCCTTGCGAGAACCCGAGCGCGTTGATCCCCGGCGCTGTGCGGAGGATGTTGTCGGCTTGCAGCTGGGCGCAGACGGTGTCGACTTGCAAGTTCACGTCCCCGATGAAGCTGGCTTGGCGGTCGGCTGCGCCGCTGTCCGCGAGGTGGATTAGGTGCACGTAGGTTCCGGGGTTCGTGGCATCGGCGAGCGATGCTACTTCTTTCATGCCGTCGCGTTGGAAGTCATCGCCGAGGCCGTGCCAGATGACGAGCGGGAGGGGGGCGAGCTCGTTGGTGGTTGGGAGGGAGGAGGCGAGGATGGGGAGGAGGGTGAGGGTTGGTAAGAGATGACGCATTGGGATGGCGCGGTTTGGATGTATAATGTTTGGAAGAATGGGTTGGTTGATACTATATGAGGCGATGAGATGTTGAGAATGATGATGGTGATGTGTTGATGGTGAGGTGAGATGATGGTGGTTGTTGTTATTATTATGTAGAGCTGAGAGCTGGGATGAGGTCACGTTGTCCGGGCATGTGATCGTCGGGCGGCTGTCGTACCTGACGGGGCTAAGTTGTGCTACAGCTCGGCGATAAGATAGTGTGGCCCTCCGGGGTAGGCGTAACCAAGGGGAAATGGTCGCACAAGCTTAAATGTACTGATGTCAGGCAACAGTCCCTTGTGATGAAGACTATGATATAGTGAGTACAAAGAAAATTCTCCGTCGATCATGTCGTTCAGCTCATGAAAGAAGTCCAGGTCGATTATGTACTACTAATACTGATTCCCATTTTACCACAGTCCATGGCGGTTCGCGAATTATACTTATCCGTTGGCTTCGGCAAATCCAATACCTGATAGGTACAAATAACCTCAACCAGCAGTTTTTAGAATAGATACTTGGAAACAAAACTCTAAGGCACTCATGAGGCTTGCCCCACATTATTACATACCATCGGATAGGGAGATCGGTGTTTAGTGCTATGTGGCACTCAACGTTCGAACAAAAAGGAAACCAGACCGATTGCTGTAGGTGAAGTGCGAATGCAAGTAGCATTAGAATATCTATTCTGATGAGAGCGCATGGGATGACGATATCCGCTTGGCATAGAACCGTTCGATACTATGCAGATTGTCCCGATAACCTACAGGCGGTTCCACCGATTCCGCTTGTTTGTGGCCTTGCCCGAAAGCATTTTGATCATATTGGAGGAAGCCTTCAAGCAAAGTTGCCGGTGAATGAAGCATGGTCTTTGGTGTCCTGAATGCGAAGCCACTGCCAGGATGATAGCCTGGTCTTTGTGTTTGGAACATGATTTGGTTTTGGGGATCCGCATCTTGCGATAACTCGTTATCAATCATGCGAGGGGATTTGAACTGAGTAGAGACTATCTCTGTTTCATTGAGTGTTTTGGCTGAGCTGTTTGGAATTGATGTATCACGGTCCGTATTCCATATCGATCGCATTGCGCCGCAATCGTTGTTATCACCAAGCTCAACTGGTTGCCCAAATATTTTGGTCGGTGATGTGGATGCGCCCAACATATAAGGAGAGGACAGAGTGATATTATTTCCATGTGGCTTAAACAATATTGGAATCTCATCCTTCTCGCGGTAAGTCGATTTGTATGCAGCTCGTATATCATGGAACGATTCGAGTGCTTGGTCATTAGAATCGCCAACCGGAGGCAGCAGATTCTCTGCCAAATGATGTGTTGTCCTACGTGCATAGCAATCCAACACCTTCAATGTTTTTGAGGATAATATGGGAGTGTTGTAGGGAATTTCCTGCCGTTCCTGGTTTATCTCATCGGCGCACGTAGTCACACTGTTGGCGGAATTCAGTCTTCGATCATTATCGGCAAACATTTGATCAACCTGATCATCGATGGTGAATCTTCTTCTGTTGACCAATGCTTGACACTCATGAGCGGAGCTATCGTTTTGATTATTGTGTGATGACATTTGCTCAACTGCTGACACTTCTTCATCGGCAGATATGCTCGCTACAACGTCAAGGATCCCACTCGGAGATCTAGGACCTGTGTCCACAGAATTTCTAAGACATAATGGCGATTGATCCGGGATACCGAGCTCCTCGGGGCCTTGATTAAAGGCACTTCCTTCGCCATTTCGAAAGCAAGGTAAATCCACTGTTTCGGGCTTTTCCGAGCATGCTGATTCGTGACCCAAAAGCATCGACTGAGATGATTCGTTTGCTTGGAGACTACTGCTTTCCGAAGGCAAGCTCTCTGCCGGCACTTTGCGCCCATTAATTCTGATGTTGAGGTTTTTGATCGTTCTCATTTCAGACGCTGTATCTTTATCACCCCAAGTCTTGCGAAACGGCCGCTCTATCCGGGACACAATGTTCTCAGCATCCGCCAGTCTTCTCCGATCGGCATCTGTAAGCTTTCTTCTCTTTCCAAATCTCTCAATCTCTTCAGTTCGTGTGAATGCGACCTCGAGAGGTTTTGAAACGGCGACCGCGGCCCAGTCTCTCGTATTCAAAAGCTGATGCTTGATGCTGTCTAATCGGCTGACTGGCTGTGACTGTTGAAAGGATTCGAGGGGTGGACATTCGTAAGGATGGGATTGTAGATGCGAAAGTCTAGCGCTGGACTAAAATTTCTAATCAGCGAGAGTACGACATCAATTGCAACAGTACGCTCACTTCTTGTGTCGGGTCATAATCGCGAATTTCTACCTGTCCTTCTGTCAGTTCCCCCGCAACTGTTGAGTTTGGAAAGCGAGAGAACGGGATCCAATTCGAGTCTTTGGTTATCTTGGATCGGAACTGTTGAGAGTTCTTTATTCGATTCTTAGAGTTTGCATTGTGACTATTGTTGGAATGTCTGTGAAGACGGCCTCCTGTCCAATTCATGGCCGGGTTTGAATCAAAGAAGACTCAAACTCAACGGGAGTGGTTTGAAGAGGGTACGGATATTCGGGGTCATTGGGTGGTTGTCTGCTCATGACAATGGAAGTATCATGTGATACCTACTCCTAACAAGGTACGGCTTCCGAGGCTACTCCCTATATGGCACCGCCATCGTAGCAAGAGTGGCACAATGCTATACAAAGTCTGAGAGATTGTCAATTTAGTTTAAGCATCCCAATGTAGGTGAAAGAGTCAAGCTATCCAGAGAATGGACCATGCGGATGTCTTTCATTTATACAGAGTGGAACCTAGTGCTGTATGATATGGTGTTGAGTGTCACTGGAAGAGTAGGGTGCTGATAATATTCGACCAGACTGAATAATCGATGATTCACATAATGGCCTACAATTGGCAACCCTCTTTATTCTGGCGTTTAAAGCCTGAAGGAAGCTACCCAATTTTCGGGACCATGAGACTTGGTTTCTGGCGATTGCCCAACATAGATAATCATAAGATGCCATTGGGCGATATTGCCAATTAGGCAAGCAATTTGATGAGGTACCGAGTACTTCGAGTTGTAGGGATAAGGTCAACATGGAACTCCCCAATAGGGATCACATTGATGGAAGGTGAAGCGCGAGATTTCAACATCTTGTTTCTTCCGGTTCCGTCAATCGTCGATTCCCTCCAGTGTTCTGACTTTCGAACCCGAGTCTGTAGGGCTTAGACTGCGCACCATGTAACTACGGATAACTACGTAACCATGGGGCTTGCAATCGGCCTTGGTCGAGTACGGCTCGGGCCGGACAGTGATCCAAGCTAAGTTGACTAATGCTCTTCAGGTTCTGGTTCAACGCCTGCGGCCCGAGAATGCAAACAGTATAAACCGTGAGACTGTCACGTGAGACTCGCTTACACAAAAGCCTTTCGCACTGGACAAATCCCCTTTCTTCTTTTCTCTTCCTTCTCAGCAACGCTTGGTCCCCTGACCACACCCTGCCACTCCGGAGTTGCCGCGAGCCACTCATTGTGGCCAGCGACCGGTTGGATCTTGCCTTGATGCAGGCAGAGCCAAATTACGATTGGCAGAAGGCTGAAACCGGTGTTTGCTCCTTAATAATCAGGGTAAGTCTATTTTTGATCTTCCGTTTATTTTCTTTTTCTCGACATCCCACGGGTCTTGGCATCTTTTTATGATGAACACAATACCAATAAGCATAGTTCACCTGAGGTCTTCGGATCGTTGAACGACAACTGTATACCATCTTTCACCTTTGTCTGATATCACCTGCCTGTCTCGTGTACTTGTCACCTGTCTTCGATTGATTGATCATCCGGAACTTTTAACGCTGACATTTGCATTGAAGAGTACCTAGGTCGGAAATTTCGGCGGAAAAGGAAAAAAAAAGGGGAAAAGGAAAACCAAAAACAGGTAAAATTTAGATTGGAACCAAGAAAAAATAATCAAAATGAAATGAATCAAAAACAAACCCCTTCATACTCGCGATTAAACTCCAGCCCCTCGAGAAAATCCTGAGACGTTCGATGGAGACTGCCAAAATGCATTGCTGCCCAACTTGGGCTTCCCGTCATGGATCTTCTCATATCCACCCTGGTAAGACACGAACCATTCGTGCACATGTGTAGATAAATGCAGCCCCTTTTCCCTCCTGAAACCTGGACAGCGTTGTCCAGGGTACTTTTGCGCGGTTTTTCCTCGCAAACGCATCGCTGGACAGCATGAGGCGCATAGATGAAGTATCAAAATCCAAAACTCCCCCTCCATCCGACACTTGCATGCAGAAGGGGACGAGGCAGCATGTTCCCCGAGACGTAGGAGAATTGACGTGGTTGTGGTCGTAGCCAAAGGATGGGACGGCGCCAAACAGGAGCACTTCACGAGGGAAGCGGGGCAGCGCGCACTAACGGGCGCTGATTGATGGGGCGGATCAGCGGGGATTCTCAGTGGTTGGCAGCCCCGTCGGGGGGGCTGCGGGCTTGCATCATCTGGGCCTGCCGGTGATGCAAGCCCGCAGCCCATGCCCGGGACGTCGCGGCCAGTCAGAGGGCCCCGGGGGGTGGGCCGCGCCTCACCGCTAGATGTGTTTGCGAGTGATACATCCACTCGCTGCCACGTCAGGTCCAGCGGACGAGTATCGATTGGGGATTATTGGCCGAGAGACGCAAACAACACCACCTCCGGTCGCACCACTATCACCGCCATGTCTTGCAGGATCAAATCATCGTGCTAGATGCCAATCCCGGCTGCAGCAAAATGCAAGCCCGGCACACGCTTGGACTCCCCTCGGTCGGCCTTGCCCCCCCACGCCTCATCTCCGGCTTGATGCTGAGAAAATGACTCTAAAAGGCCGCCCTTTCCCCTCTGGATCTCATTCTTCTCGATCTCTTCAATTCATCTCATCCTCATCATCTCAATCCGAGACGAACTCCCAGCCTCCCGCTATCAAGATACCCAGATCTGCCTCCACCTTTTCTTCCATCTCCCTTCCAACATCCTTCTACTTTCTTCTACCTCTGCTCCACCTTGTTGCTAGATTTGCCATAGTCAAATCTGCTGCTCCACTTGAACTACTACCCTGTTGCTACTACTTGCCGTCTTCCACTTACTACTACTTAAGGCTTCTTCGTCTTCTCTCTTTTTCTGATCTTCTCCGTGTCCAACCCCGTGGATCGTGGAAAGATTTCATACTCCCTTGGCTTCAAAAGAAAAGAAAGACCTCGTTGCCCATTGGAACTCAGTCCATATCCTGGATAGGATTTGCCTTGCTGTTTTCTTTTTTTCTTTATTCGACTGTTCGAATATCGATAGATCACAGGTAGTTCCCTTGCTTTTCTTTGCCTTTACTCTGTGCCTTTCTTGTTTTGTGCATGTTTCTTTTCATTGCTTTCTGCGTCTCGACACTCGACCTTGCCTGGATGAGTTATTGCCGACTGTTTGCCGATTTGAACGCCATGAAGCCCTGGACAACCGGATTTTTTGATCTCTTTATGGATTCGCCGTCTCTTGACGGTTTCATTGCATGATACCCCTGGAGAAAAGCCGTCCACAGCAACCGCTGTGAGCCTTGGACACTTCTGAGTGTTGTTTAATGATGCACACTCATCGATCTTCTTTGGACCACCTTCACCTGGACTCGTGTGACTACCTTTTACTTCCTCCAAGCCTGGAGTGCAAGTTGGATTTTGGCCTTTGACCTTTGAAAACCTGGATACCATAGAACCATGCCGGACGGATTCCAATTGGATGCCTTTTTTTTTTTTTTTTTTTTTTTAATGATCCCACTCTGGAGAACCAATGCTTTTGATACCCTGGACATTTCAAATGATGAAATAAACTAAGCCAAAATGTGATACTCAACAAACTCCTGGACCTACGAAAAAGAATTCCGTTGATCTCTGATCTTGACCCTCCACGCCTCGACATCAATTCCTTGTAGTCTTCGGGACTAAACACCTGGATGAAAGATACCACTGGTATCTGAGGCCTTGTACGGATTACCTCGCGGCGAGTAGCTTTTAGCTAAGCGTTGTGGACCTGATCTCGCTTGTATTGCTCCCCAATCTCCTCTGGCCAATTTTACTTCTGTTCCCCTGGACCTCGAACTTGCCTTAATGCACCTGGATTTACAACATCTTGCTTCGCCTTTCTTGGACAACAGTTGTGGTTGGTACCTTCTTCGAATCCTTGGGCCTTGTCCTCTTGAAGCTAACAGACCTGCAGGATCCTCCTCCCGGCCTTTGACGCATTGTTCTTTTTAAATTTTTTTTTTTATATTTATTTTTTTTATCGTGATGACAAAATTTCGGAAAAAAGTTTGCGTACTGACTTGTAAATCTTCTAGTGCTTTTTCATTCTTCAAGCCCAGCTGGCTTCAAGAATATAATGTCCCCAAAGATCAAGAACGACCCTGAAGTTTCTTTGTCTCAGTCCGCTCTTCACAACATGGATCAGATGTCTCAATCCAGACACAACCAATTAGTCCAAGGAATTTCAAGCATGGCCCCCAGAGTGATCCCGGATGATGAACTTTCGAGCCAGGATAACTTCTCCTTGTGTTCAAGCACACACCAGACCCATGGAACTCCCGGATTCAAGTCGTGGTCCGTGAATGATGTTGATGGACTTGACGCTGGTGTCATGTCCTCAGTTAAACCAGAATCCCCGGAAGTACAAATGTTGTCTTTCTCATTGTCTCAGCAACTCATGCCTTCCACCGTGGGGCCAAGTGATGTAATGTATCACACTGGACCCGAATTCCCAGGTCTCCAGGACATGGCAGACCAGAGCGAACTGGATTTTTCACATGCCCAGGATTTCAACACCCACTACTCCTCGCTAGTGGATTTCAGTGCGTTTGACAATGATGTCGGAGCCCAAACTGGTTCCCAGTCCTGCACTTCCGATGATGCCCACTCTGTTAGCCACAGCTCTCACACCGATGATGCATGGAACTCCCTAGTGGCAGATACCAGAAACTACCCCGGATCATCCATGGACCACTTCTCTTCCAACATGTTTCACCCAATCCCCGTTTCCCCTCCTCTGACGGAAGCAAGCAATGATGTTTCTGTTACCTCTTCCTGCTCCCACACTGGATATCCATCTTTCATGTCTAATGACGACGCCATCCTCAAGGATGTAACATCTACCCCCGTTGGCAACCAGGGAATCAACCTCGGAGATCCTTTGTTCCCTCTCACTCCGCCTCTCAATGAGCAAGACCCTAACAGGTCAGTCCTTCTCACCTTGTCCGGTTTCGTTTCGCCAACTGAAACTGACACGATGTTCAACAGGACTATTCGACCTTCAAAGAGTGCGCGTAGGCCAGCTTTGCAAACTCCCCCGTCTCAGCCCCAGGTGAAACAGGATGCCGAATTTTTCCCACCTCTTCCCGTCAAGGAGCCCCTTCGCCAAAGATCCAAGGAAGGTGTCGAGTTGCGGAATCCCCGGGACCACTACTATTACTCCCTCCCAACCCACAGTGATGGAAAATACTACTGCCCATACGCCATTGGAGACAAGCCCTGCAACCACCCCCCTACCACCCAGAAATGCGCATACCAGTAAGTTGGAACAAACCAAATTAATTCGCTTTGGTGCGCTTTTCAAGCTAACATTTATGACTAGCAAATACCTGGACTCTCACCTGAAGCCATACCGCTGCAAGGTTCCCGCCTGCATGGATGCCCAGTTGCAGTTCTCTTCTAATGCCTGCCTGTTCCGTCACGAGCGTGAGGCCCACGGATTCCACGGCCATGGCGACAACCCTCACCTTTGCTTGTTTGAAGGATGTGACCGATCCGTCCCCGGATATGGATTCCCCCGCCGATGGAACCTCTTTGACCACATGAGACGTGTTCACGACTACGCCTCTTCGGAGCGCCCCAGCTCCCCGGATGCTTCCCCTACCACTGGGCAAGCCTCCAAGAAGAAGGAAGCCGCCGGACGCAAGAGAAGAGTTGCCGGTGTTTCTGGCGCTCAAACAATGAAGCGGACCCGCTCCACTCAGTCCCAGTCCAACTCCTTGAAGGCTGTTCAGCAGACCTCTGCTCACCACGGCCAGAGACTGCAGAACGCGGAGCGAAACTACTACAACTGTCGTTCCCGTCTGCTTGAAGAACTTAGCAACATCATCCCCCAGGATTCTTCCATGCACGAGAAGGTCAATGCCAGCCTTCAGGAGCTGATCACGCTGGGCCTGAACTACCGCCACATTGAAGCCAGCCAGGCTGCTGCTCAGATGACCCACGGTCTTCCGGCATAAATTACGTGCCAGCCAGACTCGGTTTTGAAGTCTTCCCAGACTCTCTCGACCGCTCGGATGGACCTTTTCTTTTAAATTGATTTTCATGATCTCAGACATGAGAATCTCATACCCTTTTTTTGATGATGTGTGAAAGAGTCATGGAAACAGTCCATGCAACTTTCTCAGGGCCACCACTGGATTTCCTTTTTTTTATTTCAAGGACCATTTCATTCTTCCAGGGCTTACCAGGAACACCCATCACAAACGATCATGATGTGTCTTCGCGACCATCATCCCTCCACGGACTACCTGAAGACGACTGGGGCCATACGTGGACTATTGCCGACCATCGTTATTTCCAACAGACCCGGAGCTAAGCTCTTTGTTTGTTGACGCTTGTGAGGAGCAGCGGTTTATCCAAACCATCATGCTGCAATACATGGCTTTTTTGAGCCTTTCTTTTTCTTTTCTTTCTATTTCACGTTCTTGTTGAAAGGTTTTTGTCTTTCTTGCTACAACCCCTTTGATTTGTATAAACATTTTTTTGTATTTTGGAGATATTTTGTGTTTCTTTTGTCTTTCTTGTCTCATCAGACCTTCAACAAGGCCACTTTCCAAGGACTTCACAGTTCAAGAACACTCGTGGTCCGAGACAAGAAACGACCTCCAAAAAACACATGAAAAACGGATGGGAACAGCACACTCGTGTACATGGGTTCGGGATTAGGAATATCAGGGCATTATTTAGAGGTTTTTGGGGTTTTTTTGGCTTTTGGTTTCGTTCATCTCATATTGATATCCTGTTTGTTTTTTTTTTTTGGTTTTTTTAGGCATGTACAGAAGTGGCTGATTCAGCTCGCCGCTTATGTTGGGGTTCTATCTTTTTTTTTTTTTTTTTTTTCTTTCTTATTTCTGTTGATATTACCTTCCAGTCTATTTTATGATGGTTGCCTACCTTTTTCGGTTTTGGATATAGTCTTTTCGTTGGAAAATATCTTGGATCATGAACATTTTTATCTTTTATCATTTATCTTTTGGTTCTTCCTAGGGTTGAGGTGGGATCTTGTCTTTTTCGATGAATAATCCTGTGTGTGGTATATACTCTAAAAGTTTGATTTCAATTCTTATACTTGACTTTTGTCTTCTGTTTTCTAGTAGGGGAGGACTTGTATGAGTCATTGATTGTAGATCTTATATAAGATGTGTGCTTGAGAGTGGAAATCGGTCATTATTCGTAATCGTCTAATGGATTGCCTGGTAACTAGTTGGTTGATCTCTCGATCAACCGTCACGCAGACTTCTATATCTATGTGTGTAGGCTCGTTACATGTACCCCTTTATTGCGCCCAATAATGCTCGAATAATCCCAGCAATACACACAAGACATCGCAAAATGAGAAGAATCACTCCTCTTCATTGCCAAATTCCGCATTCAAAAACCTCACAAACGCATCCCCAACTTGCCCCGAACCAATCCCGCCCGCTGCATTCGCCGTATGCCTTCCCGTGATATACGCCCGATTCAACGAAATCCACTGCCTCCGCAACCTCTGTAACCGCGGCAGAGCTAGGATCCCGCCCGCGCCGGCTAACTCATCCGTTGTTCCCGAGGTCGCCGTATGCGCTGGGATGAATATCGGTATTGAGGCTTCCGGGACGGCGATCTGGATTCCGTTTGCGTCCTGTGATAAGGCTGCTTCCGCGGATGGGGTTGAGAGCGTGAAGGTTCGGATTGCTGAGATTATGGCTGATATCTGTTTTTCCATGTTGTAGAGGGCTGATGAGTCTGTTGATATTGGTTGCTTGGTTGCTTGGTGTGGTTGGATTATTACGCGTGGTGTTTTCGTGAGGGATCCTGCTTTGCTTGCGGCTGCGGTGGAGGAGGGTGAGGAGAATGAGGAGATGTGTCTGGCTGCGAACGAGGACGCCAAAGTCGATGGCTTATCCGTTTCGGAAATAGATGGATATGGGATACCGGTTAGGGCGCTCCAGATGTCGGCGACTGGGGGCTCTACATCGGCCCAGGGGACAGTAAAGAGGGGTTTATCCCAGCGGCTATGTGTGCTCGGTTCTTCGTATCGGAAGATTAGGTTCTGGAGGAGTTCGGGCGGGTAGGGTTCTGTGGTGTCTGTTGTCGTCGTCGTTGCAGACTCATCATTGGGCACTTCATTCGGATCTATCTTGTTGCTGTGTTCTTCCTGGCGATGGATACGCGCTTCGTTTGTTCGCGACGCATTGCGAAACGGGTGTGCCGACGTGGACCTATGTCCGAATCCAATCTGGTTAGCTACCATCTCCAATCCTAACCAAACGAAAACCATATCCCCGATAGATAGAAACGTACCACGCAACATGTTGTCCCTAGCGCTTTAGCCTCACACCATAGCTAATACCGATATCCCTTGATGTAGTTCATGCCATCAAGAATCACGAAGCTGTCTTTGCCGAGGAGTCGTTTCGCGCGGGTGTACGCGACACCGCGGGCCTCTTTTTCGGTGCGCGCGCGGTCATACACGGTTCTTGGGTGGGAGGACGCATCGTGCGTTGAGACGACGTTGATCTTGTACCGCGGTTTGGAGGCCGGGAGGGTGGTTTGGATGGATTCGAGCGCGGAGGCGAGTTGTTGGGCGCGGTGGGTGAGGCCTGAGCAAGGGAAGCCGGTGAGGATTATGAGCTGGTGGGTTTAGTCTGGAGGTCAGTTAGGTTTGAGGATTGAACCGGTGCGAATGTGACCAAGGGGAGAGAGCATACCGGCATGGTGGTGTTGCAGGAGCAGGTCGTGACTCGTGAGGGGCGATGATCGCAATGGTGGGGGGTAAAGTTGGTGTCTCCATTGGGTCTAGCGTCGGGACGTGAAGCCCGGCGAGTGACATGAGATCACGTGGCTGGTCCTTCAGCCTCGGCAGGAGAGTTCCTTACCGGAGCCTGTACGACCATACGGGCGGTGTACCTGCGTCTGGGCGCAATCCCCGCGCGGAGATGGTAGAGGTACGCCTGTGTTACAATATTACCGGACCGGGTAATTGTCGGCCTCGCGGGAGAAATTTCCTTCTGGAAGAAAAAGAACGGGAGAAGAAAATGGTTGATCGCAACTTTTTCTTTTCCCCTTCGGCAAGGAAGACTTGACATTATTGATGTGATAGACCGACGGAAGGGGGGAATTGTCGATCATCTATCTAGGATCTCCGGATTCCCTTGCCCCCTGAGTTTGAAGGGACAAAAGTACGGCGATTGTGATTATTTACTTGTATCTATTCGCTGCAAGTTGCAGTTCGCTTCTCCTCAATCCAATCCTTTGCAAAGGTTAAATTAAATTGCATCGGCGTCATCCATTCTCTTTACTGGACGTCATCGGTTTGCATTCCACCCCACGTGTTGCCTACGATAGTTATCGTAGTCTTCTTTCCTATCTTTTTTAATTTTTCTCTCACACTTTTTCCCTTCTCTTTCGCTCTCTCTCCTCCCACTTTCTCCACGCCGTCTCTCTCTCCATCACGCCATACTTTTTAAATTACCCGCCGTCGAAAACCGCGACTCCACCGGATTCCGATCAGACCATTCCCATCTATGAAGTTTTCTTCTTCCGCACGCCCTCCACCTTCGATATAGACTTTTCGTTTCCTTTCCTTTCCTCCGACATAGACCGATAGACAGCAGACACAGACAGCGACAGCAGACAGGACTAATTCTTACGATATTACGTATACTCACTCTACACTACTCTCCGCCACGCTACACTACACTCTTACAACCATTAGAAAGAAAGAAAGAAAAAAAAAAAATCCACTCCACAATGAACGTGAACATGAATATGATGGACTCAAGTCCCCATCCCTTCAACCAACCCTCCGCCTCATCCACAGCACCATACGCAACGATATCTTCAGCGACAGCGCCCACGACCGCAACGCACCCTCCTTCAGACCCGCTCCTCTTCTCATCCACCTCCGCCCGCACCACCATCAGCAACAACACCAACACAACCCTAAACCCCAACCCGCATCACGCGCCCGCCGATCCCCTGCATCACCTGCAGCAACAACAACCACACGCAGCAGAGACTGGGCCCTCGGGTCTTGCGCCCGCTGTAGCTGCAGCTGCGGTGGCGGCTGAGTCTCAGGCCTCGGTCCCAGCCCCGGCCCCAGCCAGTGGGCCGACTGCTACAGCGCCATTCTTGAGAGACTTCAGTCTTGTTGCGGAGGCGGCGAAACGGGCCCAGATGTCGGTTGTTATGAGGGATTTGGAGAGCGTGACGCTATGATGTATGCACTCGCTCTAGGGGAGTGGGCGTGGGACGTTATAGGGGTGTGTTGTCGGGCGTGCCTTGCTTGCAGACATGGTCATGGATATGGACGGGGGTTAGGGAGATAGGGGGGAGACGGCAGAATGAACTGATGGATGACGCAAATTGAACTAAACGGATTGAAGGAAAGGAGGAAGGAGAAACGGGGTGATGGTCATTGGATAGAAGACGAAGACAAGACAAGACGAAGAACCCCTCGATATGGGCACTTTTGGGCTTTGATTTATTGTTTGATACACGGGTTTTTCTTTCCCTTTTTATTATTTCATCGTAGCGAGTGGGGTGGGAAACGGCGTTATAATTTTGAATCCATGTTCCTTGTTCAAGACGATGCGGAGTACTTCCTATTTGCTGGCTGCGTTGCGTTGCTTTTTCTTCAGAATAATTGCCTACCTATGGTTCAGGGACCACGCCATGTCATGTCGCGCTCGGTCTGTTTGCTACCTAGGTTAGACAATCAATTATCTTGAACCAATTAGCGGGTCACAGGGATCGTTCGAATCGAAGAAAATCCTAATAATGATATTGCAAGGCCTTGTCTTCACCTTGATCCAGGATCGGAGTACACCGTAACTACATATATGGAGGTATACTGGACCATGAAGTATGGTACCTACAAAATAGCGCCACAGCGAGTCAGGACGGTTCCTAATTCTATTTCTGCAGATACCACATCGGCGCCTCCGCCAGTCTGTTCTCATTCAGGATCGGAGTACACCGTGTATGATTATGGAGTATATGGACAATGGAGTATGTACATCATCGTTATCTACAAAATAGCACCCACCAGCGAGCGAGTCAGGACTGTTCCTAACTCTATTATCCGTACTCCGTACGGTGGACACCATCTCGGCACATCCCAAAGTCTGTATGTAATACATCATTCAGATTACTGTGAGTGGTACAAAACAAACAAGAACGACTCCGTACTGGAGACCCTCATGCGCCGTAGATTAAATATGACTTCATCTCGCCGCTTCGTCGTAGCTAGTTCATGAGTCGGCTACCGGGCGGAAATTAAACCCCCCTCCCCCCTCCCCTCCACTCTTCAAATATCCGAGACAAGACGGACACTAGGAGTAGGTACGGCGTACTATCCGAGTTTTCTAGTTTCAACCAAGTTGTTGTTACTGACTTAGCTGGTGCTAATTTGCTAACTAACAGAGTAGGTGACCACGAGGTATTCGGTTCATTTCTTGGGGTTAGTATTAGCATCAAACAGGGAAATAATAGGAGAGATCTAATAAGGTATGACCGAGGTATTCCGTATGTGTATGTCCATGGAAGGTAAGCAAGTAGGGAGTACTCCGTAGGTACTAGGTAGCAAAGAGAAAACCCACCATCAGAAGCAAGCACCGCCGCCCAGGGCGCTAAACGGGCACCGAATCCACCTATTGAAATTACCTTAACACGAACCGAAATAAAAAAAAAAGGAAAAACACAGAAAAAACAAAGAGACAAAATCATACTCCGTACTACTGCGCTAACCCACTAGCTGTAGACCCCTCTCTAGAGTACACCCTAGACAGGGGGCAAGAAGATAATCGTTTAATTTTCCCACGAACCCCTAAGAAATCAAGCCATTTGCTAGTTAGCAACGTGGCTACAATTCCTACGGAGTTGGAGTACTGCTGCGCAGTAATGTAACTAAGGCTAAGCTGGCTAGCACGGAGTGCTATCTAACGTGGCTAAAGACTAGCCAGAGATGATGCCAAGATGATGCCGATGATGCCGATGATGCTGATGATGCCGATGATGCTGATGATGCTGATGATGCTGATGATGCTGATGATGCTGATGCTGCTAAGTTCGTCCGCCACGCCACCCTTAAGCAAGACATCTTCTCTGGCGCGTACCTGGAATGTGTCTCGTGTTTCAACCTGGGAACTTGTCAGGTGTCATAGTCATAGGACCGGACCCCTACTTTTCGGGCTCGGATCCCTGCTGGCACTGCTAGGAAAGTCAACGGCGCGAACTTGTCTTACTTACCTTTTACCCCGTTGGGTTGGTGACGCTGGGACTTGACTTGGCCAAGACTAGTCCATTGGATTTGAAGTTGTCTACAGCAGAATAGGACTAGCTAGGAGTTGGTGGTTGGTTAGTGATGATCTGTCTGCTTTAGTGACGATGTTAGAGGGGGGGGGGGGTTTGATTGGTTGGTGGTTTGATGGTCTACTAGGATTGACGACCTACGGATACTCTGGTGTCAATATAACTCATGTTTTGCGTCTGGGTGGTTTCAGACGGTGTGTTTTTACGATGGAGGTGAGACATTTGGTTCTGTATGTATGTATGTATGATGTATGTATTCAGCTGGTCTATCTGACAGGTGCCATGTGACATGATAATCAGGGGTAAAAATGAAGATCCAAATAAAGACCAGGAAAAGACCACATGGGAGGATACATAGTAAGCTGACTAAGTAATAGCAACAGTAACTAACTAACAAAGACGCAAGTACAGTACAAACAGGAAACAAACAAAACACATGCAGAATGTGGGTGAAATGTTGATCAAACAAGAAAAGAAAAAGAAAAAGAAAAAACCCCAAACACCCAAGCTAATGCGACAAAATGACAGCGGTCTAAGGAGGGAATCAAGTGTGATGTAAGACGCCGAAAGTTGGAACAAATAAGGAGGGACTTTTTGGCTGGTGGATATTAAAATGAAATGAGAGAAAAAAAAAAAGAAAAAAAAAAAAGATGAAATAAGAAGGAATGAAAAAGGCCTCCGTGTGTATAGTGCGATGTCGAATAGAAACTCCGATGGCAATATGCTTTTGTTTTCATGTCGAGATAGATGATAGTCCTGATTTGTTTGAATCTTGGTTCGGTCCCATGGTATGGTGGAAAATTATTGAGATATAGTTTTACCCCAGTATTTTTTGGTAGGAGCGGATGGTTGATTTCTCGGTCCAGTCCAATGGTCAAATTACATCTGCATTGACGATCCAATCAAGTTCGGCTGCGAAATGCTGGCTCCCTGACCCGGGCGAAAGCGCTTCTTCTGCGAGAGACCCAGCCGAGTCGACAGTCTTCGAGTGAGCGATTGCGAGGGCGGAGGTGTCCAGTTATCCACGGTGAAGGTCGACATGGGACGAGGGCGAGGCGATTCCATTGTCATGGGGCTCTCCCCGCCGGACAGCGACGAGCCCGCACTCGATCCAGGCCCCGAGCTGCCGCCTACGCTGGTATCCAGCATGAAGGTGGACTGGCGGTGCCGGCTCTTCAGCTTCTCGCGCGGCTCCAGCTGCAGCGAGAAGTCCTCCTTGATATCATCCAGCGCGTACGACATGCGGCGCAGCAGCTTGGGCTTTTCGGCGATCGACGGTTCGCGCTCCTCTAGACCGTACAATTGTAGAGGGGTCGAGTTGGGCGTGTTCTCTTTCAACGGCGTGGCATAGTACCGAGGTAGGCGAGGTACGCGGACCTTCTCTGCGCGGCGACGAGGGATAGAGGGAAACCAAGCTTTGGGGTGAGGGTTTTGGATGATAGGGCTGCCGCTGGAGGACGAGGAGGCGGATAGAGATTCGGTGGGTGAGGTCAACATTTTGTCGTTCTGTTTCTGTTGTACAAAGTCTGGCTGTGATTGATCGCTTTTTCTTTTTTTTTTTTTGTTCTTCTTTCGTCAAAAGATCCTCAATCTGTCAGAATGAATGTTGTATGTGGTATAATTGGTACAAGGTGGATTAATCCGATATTATTAGAATCCCGCGCGATATGTATAAACGGAATATAAGGTATAGTATAGACGCAGGTCAACGAGGGTCTGGTCTTGATCTTGGCCTTGGACTGACGATAGGTTCAGGCAAGGTAACGAGTGATAGAGCGAAAGAGGAAACGAAAAATATTAGTAGCAGGTTAGCACCAGAAAAGATTTCTCAGTCCAACTTCGACCGAGTCAGACAGTTCGTCCCATCTCGGTGTAGGATGGGAATGGAGGGTAAGAAATAATTATAGCACGGATGCCAAAAGAGACTAAAAGGAGGCAAAGTGGAACTCCGGAGCATCATGGATTCAACTGGTCCATTACTGGATCGGTATTACATCCACATCAATTGGTATCCGAGCTGTCTCCATCCATCGGAGCAACAGCCTCCTTTCTCGTATTTCCAGAGTTCCACTGAACAAAGAACGGGGGGGAGGAGACAAGTGTGGCTCTCTCCCCTTTCATTTCCTCTCTTGATCTCTAAATCTCAGCTCCAGCTCCATCGGTTCATCGGAGCGACCTCAGATCTCGGTTCTCAAATCCAATTTTTCAAGTCATTGGGGTTGATCTGCTCGAGAGGTTTTACTGGGGCGGCAAACGCTGCGCGAGCATTGGCAGCCGGTTGATACTGTCGTTACGGCAAAGTATATCGATCCCCATCTATAAATACATATCTACCTGAAACATGCATAGGCGCTGGGCGATGTCGGATACTTTCCACAGTAGCGACCAAGTTGCGTCCATTGCGTGCGTATGCCATTATAGCTCTTGCCCACTGACTCGTCGGGACATTATGAAATCTGAATAAACGAGGCTGGGTGATAATAAGCTATGAACACCAAAGTTGAGGAGAAATAAAAGAAAAAAGAAAGAAAAGCGAAAAGTGGTCCAAGTGATCCATTTCCACAAGGTCCACGGGTGGGAATCATTGGAAGTAATCATTCCGGCGGCAAATGATGGAATGATGGAAATTCATTGTCTCATTTTTACCCACGGAATGGGTCATTTTCCGTGGTGTGATGCACCCCGTACATCCGGCTGGTATGATGATACATCACGATACCACATCTTGGTACCACATTTGCCTTTTTGGGTGGGGTGGTGGGAATAACTTCCTTTATTCCTTTTACAAGACACAAAGTCAAGTCATACTCCGTATGGAATAGTACTCCGTAATCATGAATGAAATGAATGAATGACCGCCAAGAACCCAACCTGCAAATCATGACACCACAAACACAAACAGTACGGAGACCAACGGACGATCCGTCCCCTTGTCCCTGCATCTCCAATTGTTTCATTGCTTCTTTATTAATTCCCCCCTCTTCCAAGGCAGCTTTACTCACCTTTACACATTCCCCCCTCCTCTGTCTCCGGGGGCCGCCCGAATAGAAACAAATCATGGGTAAAAAAACTGGGCTGATGCGAAATAAAACCAATCTGTGTGTAACCGACGTGCCGCGCACTAACGGTCCCATAAGGACCTTAGCGCCCTCCTGCAGAACCAGCCACATTTGCGCTTGGCCTGCAAGGTGAAACAAAACCCTCGCGTTGGACTAATCAGGTTGATTATCCTCTTTTCTAGCGCCCCTTAGGGAAGGGAAGGAAGGGGAAAAGGCCCCAGCAATAAATATGGGTTTCTTCTTTTCTTTCCTTTCCTTTCTGATCCGCACTGCCCCCCACAGCCTCAAGGGAATAACACTATTCCCGATGTATAGCGCTTTTCTCCGTACTGGACTCGGTAATACTATAACGGATAACTAATAATTATGGGACGGACGGGATCCAATTCCGATACTACGGAGTACATGTGCGCGACCCGGCATAGGGATTGGTTGATTGATTTGGATGGTGTCTGGGATGCGGCTGGCTTGAAGCTTTAAAGTTTACGGGTTGATTTTTCTTCTTGTTTTTCCCTCTCTTCATTAGGTATGAATATGAGGTCCACTCGGAACAATGGTTTCCAAAGGCGGCTATTAGCTAGGTGTATCGAGGATTGAGTCAGGGATTCCGTGTCCACGGAATATGCCGATATGCGTACACCGCATGCCGATGAAGAAAAAACTAGCTGGGCGTTGGCTGGGTGATTCTCCAATTTGCAGATATTTTCTGATCCTGTACCCCGTCCTTACTGTTTAGTGTTTACACCGAGTACATACGGACTACGGACTACGCCCAGCAGGATGGACTAAAAAAACCTGCCGTCTGGTCATGCATGGGCGGCAATGGGGATCCGCTGCGTTTGCCGATCCCAGCACCTTATGCTTATTGGCAGATATTAATACTCCGTAGCTTGCTGGGGTAAGCGATCTGATTAGTACTTTGGATTATTATTGGTTTTAGTTTGGAACATCTGCATGTTGAATGTTGATGCCTGTTTTGTTTCGGTTTGTTTCGTTTGTTTTTGCTTCGATGGTTGGAAAGGTGAGGATTTCGTTTCATCCATCCATGGGAGGCTGAGCTGTGGGTGGCTCTGGTCCATAACTGTCCGGCCGAGATCTAAACCAGTCCACACACCGCACGCAGCCTCGCGATCTTCTAACATGGGTCGGAGCAACAGACGTACTGCCACACGCAATGCATCCGAGAAAACAAATCAACACAACATGAACATTCAGAACGAATTGGCAACCTATGGCTCTTGGAATCTTCACCTTCGCTGTGTGTGCATGTCCGCTCATTCTAGGATACTCTCGCCTCCTCGTCATCTGGGTTCGTCATCAGCGCTTGAGCCACAGTCTCCGATTCCCCACCTGATCGGCCTCGACGGATGACATGACAGCTGTCGCTGGAACGACTCACGGACGGTCGGATTAGGTGGCAGCGTTTTAAGACTGAGTGGTTACGATCTTAGTTTAGTCAATGGCCACGTCAAATTCCAGGGACGTCAAACCATGGCTGGTAAAGACCCAGTTGGTCCTAATTGGGTTGCCTGGTCTCCTCGGCGGGGGAGAATATCGAATGTTATGATTCCATCCCTCGGTACTTGCTGCGTCGTCTTTCTGTCTTGAGCGGACCCTAGCTGTCAACCGGGACGACACGTTTATTCCTTCCGAGATCAGACGGCGCATTCGAACCACGCCTTAGGAAAGCTTGTACGCTAGTCGGTGGGTGGCCAATTCGTTTGCTGTTGGCGTGGCGGATGAACAGCCCCGTTGGTTTGCGTATTGTAGCTAGTTGGAGACGGTCGGAAGAGATTCGCGTCCATCGATCGAGGATGATTGATCTTGCGTAGTTGGAGGTGAGGCGATGAATGTCTAGTGGCACAAGTCGAGGATTCTGCGTGTCTTGTTCGTGGGGGGGGGGGGGGGCTTGGTTTTTCAGCTTTGCGGCGTCTGGCACTTTATCGCGGACTAGAATGCCCGAGTCTATGCTGCTTGATTGCTAGTCGTGGATCCTGATGGTACGGTCTCTTCATCACAGACATGTGGGCTGATGGGAGTGAGAGACCATCATCGAACTTCCCCCGTCACCGAACTCCTCCAGATTATTCCTTTCTAATTGATCAACGACTTCTTCCGGCTGATAAACATGAAGGACAGGTTAACTCACATGGACTCCTCACT